CCAGTCGTGATAGCCGATTATCGATTCGGGTCCTGTGATTCCTATTGCGTGGTTGGTGTATCGAATTCCGTGCGTATTACTGCTACTACTTCTACAATCATTACAAATTGCTTGCATGTTTCTGCCTTTGTTTTCATTTTATCGGATTGGCTGGCACGATCCACGTATGGCGTGTAATCAGAAGCCGTACGCCTGTCATTGACGTCATCTTTCATATTTGATTGATTGCACGTGTCCGGAAACTGTGACTCGCCGCTCCAGGGTAGGCATCATCTCGTAGGCCTGAAGCACCACAACTCTCCTCCTTCAAAAGAACTTCGTCGAATTGAACTCTCCCTGGGATTGAGTTTCGTTAGGCAAGTGTAGTAATCTCTCCGTTAGGCACTTCAGGATCACCGGATTCCTGTTCTCTGATTTCTGTCTTTGAGGATGCAGGTTCAGTGAATTCATCGTTCCAACTTGTAGAGTCGTTTGAACATATTTGGTGGGATCTTCGTCGTCGGGCTTGGCGATGAAATAGCACTTTTCACCGTTCTCGCCACATTCTTCGCTGCATCATGCGGGCAGGAGCAATGTGATATTGTGCGTAACTGTCAGCGACCAGTCATTCTCGATTTGGAGGATTGTGTGCGCATGGTTCCAGCATTAGTTTGACTACTCGTGGTCGGCCTCCGTCACTGGGCGTGAACAATCGGTGGTTTGCAGAAATGCGTTGACACAGGTCCGTTCAACTTCCGTAAGGCGTTCAGGCCAAGAATATAATCAATTTCTTCCAATAAACGAATTACTATTTGCCAGTCTTGTGGCCTTTTCCTCGCGTCTCGTCCACGTGGGAAACTGCGAGCTTGTGCCATTGCGGTTCAGTGCTTCCGTAATCTAGTCCGTGATAGCTGATCCTAGATTCGTGTCCTGTGATTCCTATTGCGTGGTTTGTATTCCGAATTCCGTGCGTAGCATTACGACTGCTACAATTATTACAAGCTGCTTTCATGGTTTTCTGACTATTTTACAGGGACGGTCTTGTGTACTAAATTAGGACGGTTTGCAACAATATCTCTTGCTGCTAATTCTGGTGTTCTTCAATTTGCAGTTCTATCTCCGTATCTTTTTTATGATTTTCTGATTCATATTTTTGTCTCACCCCCTGCATACATCGAAAAATATGCCGATGACATCATTTTATGCAAGAAGGTTGCATTTCATTCGGAAATCTATTTTTTCATCGAAAATCTGTTTCACATCTAACAGTTTTCTAATCAATCTGGTCTCAGTCTTAATACATCTAAGTGCTTAGAGTGTATCTGCCCCGCTTCTCATTTCCAAGGGATTCCGATACTGTTAACTACCCAACCGTTTTTCGAGGGGTCGGAAACAGTAACTATTCAGCACACGTGAATGAATGAGACCACCGGTTATTAGTTTATTCGCACCTCTATCCAAACCCAGCACATACTGAGATTCGGTGGGAAGTTTTCTAATTAAATTTATCCATACGAAAGTTTGATCTTCACGATGATCATATACGACACTACTACAATGGGCAAACATTTTCACGTCCCTCCCGGGACTCGAGTCTTTAATTACACGTTCTGAAGGTACCCTATGGTGCAAGGTGTTTTTCAGTTTGACTTGTTTCTATAAATTATGAACTAATGCACATAAACTATCTTTCGAAATGCCGATTTACCTGAAGTTTCATAAGTTATAAACGAAAGTTTCTGTGGAAAAAATATATCTATAGGTATACATGTGTGAGTTATACCTCAGTGAGGCACACACATATAGGGGATAAACCTATCGGATTCGTTTGACCAGAGAGCCTGAACTGTCCGTCTTTTAAGAATAACCTCACTGAAAAACTAGCCATTCGCGATAACTGGTAGTCGGTTCCTGCTTCTCGTGAGTTTGGGGATGGGTTTTCAATATGCTAGTTGTTTTTTCCCCAAGCATTTGACTATCAGCCATTTACCTGTGGGTTGACGTACAGTTAAATCTCTATGTGCATTAGAAGTCACCGACAGCATGAAGGTCACGTGCACACACGGAAAATAATAAAAACAAGAGCAAGACGAAGGTCAATATTGTATCGATCAGTCATTTCAAATTCATTCGGCCACTGCGAGTGATAATGATTATGGTCGGGAGGACGGTCTTCAGTGGCTGGATTAAAACGATATGCCTATTATCCCAACTAATCTGGACGATAAACGGCAAGATTCCTTATTATATGTGCACCGAACAGCGATGCGAATATGTAGACAAACCAACTTGCGAGTTCCAAATAGATGAAACGAAATTTTCTAGATCACCCGGAGTCAGGGGAGGACGTTTTATCATGATGTGCCTCAAAAACGAGCCATACAATGATCCACAGAAATATTTAGATTGTTCAGCAATCCCATCAGTCATTGATTTGACAATTGCAAGGACTTCTTATCGATTCTGCACGCATCGCTTACGTTTGCAAACCCCTTGGATTGCTCACTTGGAGCTGATGAATGCGTTTGTGTTCGACGCACCAAACTGCATGATCGATCCTCCTGCATACAATTTTCACGATGGGATTTTATATATCAATGAAACAGACCGACCACCTATTGGCGCTGCCCAAGTCGAATGTGACGGATTCATCAAACGAATCTACTTTGTCAGTAAGTGGACCTCTTCCTCCATCATTACATGTGTGGACTAGAAAATATGTATATTTGTGTACATAGTATGAATTGGGATTCCATGAATGTTTCTAAGTTGTAATATAACTAAACTCGGATTTGCAGGGCTATGAGTCCAACATATTAATTCTCGGCTATTCGCTTTGAATTCTATAGGTAGAACCAGAGGTAAATTCTCAACTAGTTGATGGTTGTTCCGAGTGAATGAGGGAATTTGTTTGTTTGTTTGCTGATTGGATTTGTTGTCGATTTTCTTGATCTGGAAATTGTTTAGACTGAAAGAGTTGACTGAAGCACCCTGGTTCCGCTGTGCGTCAATGAGCATGCTAACTCGTCCTAAGAAGTCCGGTGGTGACTCTGGGTTCACATAACCTCTCATGGACAAAAGGCGAATGAAAATATCATCCTCAATGTCTTAGCTTCGGCTTTCACACTGTTTTTATGTATAAATCTTGCTGGATAAAAGTTGAGCTTCATAGCTTCTGTGAGCGGAATTAGCTCACTTTCTACATTATCGAAATTGCACATCCTCCGAGCTCGATCCAACAGGGTACGCATGAGATCTCATTTGTATTGGATTGGAGCGAAACTCCCAGAATACAGATACCGGGCGGTCCATGTGGATTTTCGATAAATTGACCTCGAAATAATTCCGTCTGGTCTCCGACCGATAGCACTATCTAGAAATGGGAGTTATTTTACTCAGTTTGCATAGTGAACTAGATGTATCTGTGAGGCAAATTCAATTTTTCTAGAAACTTCTTGGTATTTCTGGCCGTTTTACGTGATTGTCAACGTACCGTAGACGTATGTCCCATAGAGTACATCGCCGTTCAATATCCTATTTTGTCTGTTCTTCAAATTAGCCATGCATACATCAGGTAGAATAGAACCCAACCAAAGTTCAATAGCCCTACCATCAACTTGTCCAAATTGTAGACCTGAAAAACGAAAGTGTTCATCCGTTTGCTGAAAGTTACATTACAGGACAGAAAGCGGGATGCCCGAAAATGGGCTTCTCCAAATCATCGTCACAAATAACTTGCACAGTTTCCCTAACAGGAACATTTGTGAACAAAGATAAGAAATCAAAGGATGGCATGTAACAGCCATTTATAGTTAGTCCTTTTAGAACCTTTGTAGGTTCAAAACTATCCTTCAAGTAGTACTTGGAAGTGGACATTCTCACCGACACCATTATTTTAACCAACCACTTAGCTATATTGTGTTGTAGAGAATTTTGCATGGACATAATTGGTTCAAGCGTATACCAGGTTTATGCACTTTTGGTAACCCGTACATTTATGGTGTTTGAATACGGATTCATTCGATTTTTCTGGCTGTAGTTTCATTACTGATCTTTCCTCCCACCAAAAACTGTATCTCAGTTGATACATTCCTTTTGAGTTCGTCTGGTATTACGCCGATAATCACGTAGGCGGAAAGTTGGTTTCGTATCATATTGTATTATTATCACCCCTCGTTGTATAAATTATTTTGTATTCTGCCGTAAGCACTGAAACGCATCAAAATGATTCAGGAATGAAATCATGCTCGTCTGCAGTGTTGTGTAGGTTGTTTTGAGTTCACTTTGGGATTCCATTTTGCCTGTTCGCCGAGCTTGGCAATTTGTTTGCAAACGTTTCATCACCAGCCGAGGTGGGAAATCACCGTTTACATTTTCAGCTTCACATTCAGTCGAACGGTTGGAATAAGTTATAAGCTGGAGTTTTTGCGAAGATGAAGCTCAAATTTTAGGTAGAATGAATCATTGCCTTGGATTTGATGATAACAAAACACTCAAATTTCAAATTCTTTTATTGCCTCCAGGCACTCTCCCTATTCTCTGTTCTTATAGGTTCTTATAAGGATAAAAGGAAAAAATTTCGTCGACAACCTGGAATGAAACGAATGGATGACGTGATGACCAGCAAACCAAGGATTGCAGCATCCGTCCGCTGGTCTGATCAGAGTGAGTGTGATTCAAACCTCACATGGATCGACAGCACTTGCGAACTGGACGCGCCAGAGGCATTGTCGACCGGTTGGTACAATGTCACGTGTCGTGCCAATCAGATTGGGAGGAAGTAAGTGTTTGCCGAGGTGTTGGACAATGCGTCCAAAGTACCGATAATTTGCAAACCGGGTCCGTTGGTTTTGAATAAAAATGTTGCTCAAAATGTGGTCCAATGTGGTGTCCCGGATGAGTGGAATCTCAATCAGTCTATCCAAAAAAGTGCATATCGAGCGAAGTTTGGTCAATTGACACTCAAAATGGCCTAATAAAAATCGTAATCAGTTTTATTAAAGAGCGTCACTACGAGGTGGTGTGCCAAACTGCTTCAAATAGTCCCATTTCTTTATTCTTTGAAAGTAAGTATTTTGTTTTATTTCATGTTAAAATGATATGCGCGCTGGAAAAAGGCTAAATTTTATTTCATCGCTTCATTGTTCCCTATTCAATTATACTGCCACATTGATGATCCTAGCTGAACGACGTCTGAGCACTAGTTCACTTTTGCTGATCTAAAAGTATAGAAGAGCTCTTTGCAAATACAAATAAATGTTGTTTGTTTTAGATAAAAACTAAAACCATTTGCAAAATCATCGTAATCCCATTGGAAAATTCAGGAAACAGCGCTTATGCTGACAGTCAAAATACTTGTGCACACACCTCTTGTTATACATCTTTATATCCCTTGAAAGATTTGATTGAGTTGTTTCAGTTCTGAATGAAATTGGATCTTGCATACCGTCAACCCTTGGATGAAACGAAGATCCACTGGTCATTCACTGATAGAGATAACAGATCCATAACCGAGTTCGCGGATTCAACGAGCGCGTAAAACTGCTGGTTCTTATCCATATTTTAAAAGATTTCAATTGTTCCATTGCGCCTCTTCACCGAGCTTGACAATTTGTCTGCAAACGTTTCATCATCAGCCTAGGTGGCATCATCACAAGCATTGATGATTTCACCTCGGCCGGTAAAGAAACGTTTGCGAACAAATTGCCAAGCTCGGCGAACAGGCGCAGTTAAATTCAGTTCACCCGAGCTATGAGAACCAATTTTCAATATTTTGTCAACAGTTTTCAAGTGTATTCAATCTCTTCTGTTCCCAACAGCAAATGTTTTAGATAACCCATTCCCGCGAATCATTTTTATCAATAATATTTTTCTTATTGATTCATCCTAGTGATTGCATACGGTTACTTTTAATCACTTAGACAACTGCATGATCTTAACCTGGTTGTCAGATTATATTCATGTGTCAAATATATGTACACACGTTCTTTGATGATTGTTATTGAAAAGTTCTTACAACCCCTTTGACAGATCCTCCGAACAAGACAATCCAAATAAGATCCAAAGTGAAAAGATCAGTTATGCCGCTAAGTGACCGGTGAAAAGAATATCGTGGATGGAAAGTGGCTGATCGATACGACAGTGATAATGCCCGGTTTTTATACATTTACGTGTAACGAACGAAGTCGTCCAATCTTTGTCTACTTTGTTGGCAAGTCCTTATGTTTACTAGGTGGGTAGTTTTGCTATCGGTTCCGGTTTGATAATATCCCAACCAACCTAGTGGGGCCTAAAGTGGTTCGGTACGTCTCGTATCAGGGCAGGGG